TGTTGATGTCCGCCTGGAGCCTTGCAGTGTCTGCAATGGAAGACACTGTCATGCAGATTCGGGTGTCATCTGCAAAGGAAGACACGGTGCTGTGGCTGACATCCATGTCTATGTCAGATATGAGGATGAGGAACAAGATGGGAGCGAGTACTGTGCCTTGTGGAACAGAGCTTTTCACCGTGCCTGCCTCGGACTTTACTCTGTTGACTACTACTCTCAGTGTTCTGTTAGTGAGGAAATTATAGATCCATCAACCGACTTTTCCTGTTATTTCTTTAGCAAGCATTTTGTGCGCTATTACGCCATGGTCACACTTGTCGAAGGCTTTTGCAAAGTCTGTATATATTACATCTGCATTCTTTTTGTCTTCTAGTGCATCTAGGACCTTGTCGTAGTGATCCAATAGTTGAGACAGACAGGAGCGACCTGTTCTAAACCCATGTTGCCCTGGGTTGTGTAACTGATGGGTTTCTAGATGGGTGGTGATCTTGCTTCTTAGGACTCTTTCAAAGATTTTTATGATATGGGATGTTAGTGCTATTGGTCTGTAGTTCTTTGCTGTTGCTTTACTGCCCCCTTTGTGGAGTGGGGCTATGTCTGTTGTTTTTAGTAACTGTGGGACGACCCCAGTGTCCATGCTCCCTCTCCATAGGATGGTAAAGGCTCGTGATAGGGGCTTCTTGCAGTTCTTGATGAACACGGAGTTCCACGAGTCTGGCCCTGGGGCAGAGTGCATGGGCATGTCATTTATCGCCTGTTCGAAGTCATTTTGTCAGGATAACATCAGATAGGCTTGTGTTAACCAAATTCTGTGGCTCTCATAAAAAATTCATTTTGATCTTCGACTCTCAGTCTGGTTAGTGGCTTGCTAAAAACCGAGTCATATTGGGACTTGAGTAGCTCACTCATTTCCTTGCTGTCATCTGTGTAGGACCCATCTTGTTTAAGTAAGGGCCCAATACTGGACGTTGTTCTCGACTTTGATTTGACATAGGAGAAGAAATACTTTGGGTTTCTTTCGATTTCATTTATGGCTTTTAGTTCTTCCCGCGATTCCTGACTCCTATAAGATTCCTTTAGCTTAAGTTCGATGTTTGCTATTTCTCTGACCAGTGTCTCCCTACGCATTTCAGATAGACTGACCTCTTTTAGCCGCTCTGTTATTCTTTTCTGTCGCCTGTAAAGAGAGCGCCTGTCTCTTTCTATTTTACATCTACTCCTCCTTTTTCTTAGAGGAGTAAGTCTTGTGCATACATCGAGTGCCACCAAGTTAATCTGTTCTAGGCATAAGTTGGGGTCTGTGTTGCTTAGTATATCTTCCCAGCTTATATCGGTTAGGACTTGGTTTACTTGGTCCCACTTTATGTTTTTGTTATTGAAGTTGAATTTGGTGAATGCTCCCTCGTGACTAATCTCATTTTGTCGGTCTGGGGCTCTGCGCATACATGTCTGAACCTCAATTATGTTGTGATCTGAGTATATTGTTTTTGATATGGTGACATTTCTTATCAGATCATCATTGTTAGTGAATATGAGGTCTAGTGTATTCTCCATTCTAGTAGGCTCTATTATTTTCTGGTTTAAATTGAATTTTGTGCAGAGATTTAAAAGCTCATGCGAGTGTGAGTTTTCATCAGAGCTGCCTCCTGGTGTTATTACTGCAACAATATTATTTGCTATATTCCTCCATTTTAGGTGCCTTAAGTTGAAATCCCCCAGGAGCAAGATGTTGGGTGCAGGAGCTGGAAGATTTTCCAGACAGTGGTCAATTTTTAACAGCTGTTCCTGGAATTGCTGGGATGTTGCATCCGGAGGCTTGTAGACTACCACAATGACTAGGTTTTGGTTCTCGACCTTTACTGCTAAAACTTCCACTACATCATTTGAGGCATTAAGCAGTTCTGTGCAAACAAGTGACTCTGCAATGTACAGGCCAACCCCCCCCCCCTTTTGCCTGTTCACTCTGTCACATCTGTATAGGTTGTAACCTGGGATCCATATTTCGTTGTCCAAGTGATCCTTTATGTGGGTCTCAGTGAAAGCCGCGAACATTGCCTTTGCCTCTGCAAGCAGTCCACGGATGAAAGGTATTTTGTTGTTTGTTGCTGGCTTTAGACCCTGTATATTTGCAAAGAAGAATGTTATCGGACTGGTGGTATTGTTGGTACTGGGGGGGGATTTTTTTTTCCGGCATTAGTATCTGTATCTGTTGGTTTGGAGTGGAGGCCATCGACTGTGGTTCCACTCCAGGAATGACTGGATTTGGTGTACAATTTCTGCCATTTCCTGCCAGTTTTTTTTCCTTCCTGGCACTAAAAAACCTCTCCCTCTTGAGTGGCTGTGGCTACCCAGGTTTTCCCATGGCCTGGATGTTTTGTATCTTTTTGTCCCCTTTAGATGGTGTGCCTGGCAATTTAAGTTATAGCACAGTCTTTCCTGTACTGAAGAGGTACACATTTCAGGGTGAAAAAAGCTTACAGGAAGGGAGTTTGCATTTTCCTGTTGTCATATGGGCACGGCATTTTCTAGGGTGGTCATAGTTGCACGTCCCATCTGTTTTTCCAGATTTCGAGATGTCTGCAGATACCAAGTGCATAGTATGTGCACAGGCTTGGTTTCCGTTTGCCTTGGATTTCTGTGACTGTATTCCCTGTTGGTGCATGTTTACCTGTCTTATTCCTATCTTCCCTAGCACCAACAATGGAGCTCCCACCAGTTGTTTTTGGTAATATATCCTCACTATTGCTAGTAGTAATTACGGTTACTGTTTGATTCATTTAAGTCATTCAATAAGAGGTTGGTATCAGGATCAATGCTTGTTATCATAAGATTTATAGTGAATCTATAGTTAGAATTAAGCATAAGACAAAGTAAATATTCTAAAGCTATAAAATAGCACCTGAAGGTAGTTCTTTAAAGCTAAAATAAAGTAGACAATATAAAAGGGACTAAAAAGAATTTGTGGTGAACAAATAAAGTGGTAATCAAATAAATGAGCTAGGGAATATAATGGTAAAATAGTGAACTTATTACACTTTAGCACCTGAGAATAGCACCTTCATTATTTTAACAATTGTGAATATATGAACTAAGGTTATGTAAAGCTAAAATAAAGCTAAAATAAAGGAGAAAATATATAAGGGACTAAATTAAATAATGGTAAACAAAGTTAAATTGGCAGATAGTCACTATGATATGATATTGATTTGGGAGTAAGATCTGATTTGTTATATATAACAAGTTGATCAATTTATTGTACTATAAAAAGTAAAAAAAATATGAGGAAGTTGGTAGTAGCTAGCAAAAGATAGTTTTGGGCCTTGAACAATAATGTAATTGAAATATACACTAATTGCACACACAATATAGTCACTAAGATATGAAAATAATCTAAGAGTAGGATTTTCCTTATAGCATAAAGTTTGAGCAATTAATATCACTATAGGAATATTATTTGAGGTAGTTGATAATAGCTAGTGAGGGAAGGTTCAAGGTATTGCACAGTAGTGTAGTAGGAACATACACTAGTTTGTTATTTGTAGTTTGGGAGAAAAGGGAAAATTAGGTTTGATTATAAGAGAATTTTAACAGTGCTTAAGTAGGAAAGAAAAAGGTAATAGAGATATTATTAAAGAGTAAGTATCCTATTAACAAAAAATAAATTATGAACTGGGAATCTGGGAAGATAACACAAATTGGGTCACACAAAGAACTGTGTGGGACACCTGGGATAACGAGGTAGTAAATACTATCTAGGAGTTGATAGTACAGGGATTAGTTCAATAATGACATAACATACACTAACGTAGTAGGGATTTGGTCACTAATATCAGTCAGACTCTGTAATGTTTGCATCATGAAGGAAGTTTGCTAGTTCATTTTCATTTGTAATGTAGTACACACGTCCTACATTAGTTTTTCTTACTCACCCAAATGACTGTAAACATAAAATTCCAAATATAGCTAGTGCTAGTGGCTCTGGTGGCCTGGTGGCTAACGCTCTCACTTCACACAGCGAGGGCCTGGGTTCGATTCCCAGCCAGAGTAGAATCATTGGACGTGTTTCTTTCCACCTGTTGTCTATGTTCCCCATCAGTAAAATGGGTACCTGGGTGTTAGTCGACTGGTGTGGGTCGCATCCCGGGACACTGACCTAATTTGCCCGAAATGCAGAGCATAACAAGGGAGTTTCTATATAGTATTATGTCATTGTTGTCAGCTAGGACTGTATACCTTGTACATGTACTTGTAGTAAATAAAGATGATAATAATAATAATAATAATAATAATAATAATAATAATAATTATAATATAATAATTAATATTATTATTTATTATTATTATTATTATTATTATTAAAACTTAAGTTAGCCCTACGTTTGCCTTCTAAGAAACTCTCACAATATAGGAGCTTTAATGGAAATAGTGTATCATGCCAAAACTTATCATTCCCATTACTAAATTTACTAATTGTAATATTGGTATATGTTTTGTACTGCCTCATTATAAATCTAATTAATTACTTCAGCTGCCCAGTATGCAATAAGATATATTAAAATGTACTGCTCCATTAACCTGTCAATATAGAGTAAGAATTAGGATTAGTCTGCCCGAAATACCTAGTCATGCTAGAGGCCTTTCTTGTTATTAATATTTTATAATATATACACCATACATAGTAAGCTTTGCAAGGAAATAAACATTATTTATTATTATTAAGTTTTGCCCGAAATGCAATGCTTCCTATAGTCCTTCAGACGATTATAAGTTTTGTATATACAGTAATTTTCGTAATAAAAGAGACTTGTAAGAAAATATATTACTTCTGACTGCTGGACAAGTTAGGAACGTGAGTGAAATTACCGACTCATAATGTGCATGTTATCTCCCACCTTCCTTTTATATCTCACATTAATATCTACATTTAAACGAATCTCAGAGGACAGTTTAATAAGAATCATTCATTCTTAGATTAACACTCGTGCAGTTTCGCCTCTTACAAGAGAAATAAAAAACTTAGAAGAGTGAAGGCGATGACAAGGAAGCCAAGGCAGTTCTCGATAATCTTGCTGACAAACAGGAAATTTTTTCTCATTCAAATGGTCTCCTCTGGTGATTACTTGCCGCATCGCAATGGTCTAATTCTACGTCGCGTTACTCAACTAATCTCGAAGATAAGAGACAGCGCTTATCACTTACGTATCAGTACTGCAGGTGCGTAAATTCCTATGGATAAGACAGCAATGTAGGTTGGTGTTATGGTCGCCTCACAACTGCCTTTCTCGCCGCTAGGTGGCTGTGACGTCACAACTCTACCCTACATTATCACTCATTAAATTAAGATGTTCTTAATATTTCCCACTTCACAGTCACTCAAAAACTACTATTTTTTTTTCAAAAACACTTTGCTTGGGTAAATTTATACAACAATATACTATATTAATGCATTGAGCGATAGCGTGGGAGAATTTTTACGGAGGTTCTGGAAAATATCCCGCAATGTAAATGAGTCACTTTGACTTTTTTTGGGTTATCCCAGGTTCTCTACACATATGCTGTTATGTATGATAATCTATGTAACTGTATTTGTGTATACTTGAATAAACTTACTTATCAAACTTTCTGGAAACTATAGTGATTAAAAGTCACGTGATTGAATTAATTCCCAGCAAGAGGGGCTGGGAATTATATTGTATTTTTTTATAAATACGTAGCGATATGTACTTGAAATATATCCCTCAAACTTCATGTATATACCATCTTTGTATCATCAATGTATTTTAAAGCCTTACGTACAATGTTATTACAATCACATGACTAGGAATATTATAGGCCTGGTCAAGGACTGGGCCGCGGGGGCGTTGACCCCCTGGAACGACCTCCAGGTTGGTAGGCAGAACTCCTGCAGGATTTTGTCCAGAATGTCCACAAAAATCCTCCCACACCCCTGTCGCTCAGTTTTAATGTGGTACCTGACCAGCCGGGCTGTGGCTCGTACGTTGGTTTGCGTGCAGCCAGCAGTAACAGCCTGGTTGATCAGGCTCTGATCCACCAGGAGGCCTGGTCACAGACCGGGCCGCGGGGGCGTTGACCCCCGGAACTCTCTCCAGGTAAACTCCAGGTATAAATTTACCTAAGCAACCCCCCCCATCCATATTTTGTGGTTAGATAAATGATTATAGAGGCACACGATGGGTCCTGTGACACAATTACACTTAAAACCACATTCACAGGTTAGGTAATTACTGTTCAGGCTATTTTTATATAAACATAATTGATGAATAAGAAATGTGCAACACCTACGTTGATAGACGTTTCGCCCACCAGGGACTTTATCGTAAGATACCTAAATTGATGAATGTAATGATAAAAGAGATCCATGGTATTATATACTTTTACCTGGAGGGTATTTCAGGGGCCAACGTCCCTGTAACACGGTCAAAGAGGCATCTCATGCCAATACCTTTTACTCAACATTTCAATACTTCCAGCAGGACTGGAGTTTTCCTAGGCATTTTATCCATGATATGACTTCCACAGGTGCAGCTCCAGATCGGAAGGGATGCTGGAGGACTTGTCTTGAAGTATTGGCAAACCAAGCTATCCAGAGAGAAATAACAATATACCACTACCACATCCATCCAAGAGATTACCCATTAAAGACAAATAATGCAACATCATGTGTTGCCTACATTTAGTTATAGCAAGATATATGCAACCGGTTTCGTGCAGTCACAGGAAAATATATGTCGCCGGCTTCACGTAGGTCACAGGAAGATATATGTCACCGGCTTCACGCAGGTCACACAAGATATATATCGCCGGCTTCACGCAGGTACAGGAAGATATATGTCGCCGGCTTCACGCAGGTCACAGGAAGATATATGTCACCGGTTTCACGCAGGTCACACAAGATATATATCGCCGGCTTCACGCAGGTACAGGAAGATATATGTCGCCGGCTTCACGCAGGTCACAGGAAGATATATGTCACTTGCTTCACGCAGTCACAGAAAGATATATGTCACCGGCTTCAGGCAGGTCACAGGAAGATATATGTCACCGGCTTCAACACAGCAATACAAGCGTTTCATGTAAATATATAAACAAATGCTAATCTCTCTGGTTTAAGAAGTTACGTTACCTGTAAATTTAGATTTAGTTCTTTTGGTTCACGAAAATCATGACAGTGCTAATACACATTTTAAAGATGTTTATTAACATTTAATAAATATTTTTAAGGTTTTTGACTAGGTTACATAGCGTCAGTTACAAGCTCCATATAATGTCCAATTTTCAATGTTACCTGTACTTATTCATGACTATTCTATAAAAATATGATAACGTTGGTAATGGAAGATGTTTTATATCGATATATGTAGTGACAGCTTCCTTGCTAATGAAAGAGTGAATCAGCTTGTGTGTGTTCCAGTCATTTTTGTTAACTACAAGCATCCATGGCTCCAAAGTTTGAAAAATGGCCGTAGATCACATGACGTGGTTGGTGTGGTGTAGATCACATGACGTGGTTGGTGTGGTGTAGATCACATGACGAAGATGGTGTGGTGTAGATCACATGACGTGGTTGGTGTGGTGTAGATGACAGAACGTGGTTGGTGTGGTGTAGATCACATGACGAGGTTGGTGCGGTGTAAATCACATGACGTGGTTGGTGTGGTGTAGATGACAGGACGTGGTTGGTGTGGTGTAGTTGACAGGACGTGGGTGGTGTGGTGTAGGTCACAGGACGTGGTTGGTGTGGTGTAGATCACATGACGAGGTTGGTGTGGTGTAGATGACAGGACGTGGTTGGTGTGGCTTAATCACATGACGAGGTTGGTGTGGTGCAGATGACAGGACGTGGGTGTTGTGGCGTAGAGCACAGGACGTGGTTGGTGTGGTGCAGATCACAGGACGTGGTTGGTGTGGTGTAGGTCACAGGACGTGGTTGGTGTGTAGATCACATGACGTGGTTGGTGTGGTGTAGATCACATGGCGAGGTTGGTGTGGTGTAGATGACAGGACGTGGTTGGTGTGGTGTAGATCACATGACGAGGTTGGTGTGGTGTATATGACAGGACGTGGGTGGTGTGGTGTAGATCACATGACGAGGTTGCTGTGTAGATGACAGGACGTGGTTGGTGTGATGTAGATGACAGGACGTGGATGGTGTGGTGTAGATCACATGACGAGGTTGCTGTGTAGATGACAGGACGTGGTTGGTGTGATGTAGATGACAGGACGTGGATGGTGTGGTGTAGATCACAGGATGTGATTGGTGTGGTGTAGATCACATGACGTGGTTGGTGTGTAGATCACATGACGTGGTTGGTGTGGTGTACATCACAGGACGTGGTTGGTGTGGTGTACATCACAGGACGTGGTTGGTGTGGTGTAAATGACAGGATGTGGTTGGTGTGGTGTAGATCACAGGATGTGGTTGGTGTGGTGTAGATCACAGGATGTGGGTGGTGTGGTGTACAGCACAGGATGTGGTTAATCTACCTACCTACCTACCTACCTGGTGGATGTTCTTGAGGTCAACGCCCCCGCAGCCCAATCCTTAACCAGGCCTCCCGGTGGATTCAGGGCCTGATCAACCAGGCTGTTACTGCTGGCTGCATGTAGTCCAACGTATGAACCACAGCCCAGCTGATCAGGTACTGACTTTGGGTATCTGTGCAGCTCCCTCTTGAAAGCAGCCAAGGGTCTATTGGTAATTCTCCTTATGCTTGGTGGGAGATTGTTCAATAGCTTGGACTCCGGATTGCCCAGTCTTTTGCTTTCGTAGGGAGCAATTTCTGTGTTCAGATTTGGGACCAATCCCTCTAGGATTTTCCAGGTGTAGATTATGATGCATCTCTCTCACATGCGCTCCAGTGAGTAAAAGTCAGGTGCTTCCAAGCGATCCCAGTAATTAAGGTGTTTGACGGAACTTATATATACAGTTAAGGTTCTCTGCAGTTTCACCTGCCTTGAATGGAGATGTTAGGACACAGCAATATTCCTAACCTATTCCTAACAGGTGATTTAAAAAGGATCACCATTGGCTTGGCATCCCTTGTTGTGAAGGTTCTCATTATCCATCCTAACATTTAACTAGCAGATGTGTTAGTGACACTGTTGTGATCCTTGAAGGTGAAATCCTCCGACATTACCACTCCTCTCTATTGTGAGTTTAGAGTTTGTAGTATGCTCAGTTCTGCTTATTATTTCCTCCAGTTTTCCATAACGGAGTAGTTGGAATTTGTCCTCATTGATCACATAACATCGTTGGTGTGGTATAGGTCACAGGACGTGGTTAGTGTGGTGTAGATCGTAGGACGTGGTTGGTGTGGTGTAGATCGCAGGACGTGGTTGGTGTGGTGTAGATCAAAGGACGTGGTTGGTGGTGTTAGATCAAAGGAACGTGGTGGTGGTGTGATCAAAGGAAGTGGTTTGGTGTGTTTGTAGATCAAAGGACGTGAATTGGTGTGTGTCAGATCACAGGATATGGTTGGTGTAGGTGTGTCTGGCAGTATAGATAAACTTACGCCACACACTGCAAGGCTTGGCATTGATTTCAGTGTTGAAGCATGACGTTTACCCAGTGACCCACCTAGGTCCGCCTTCCTTATCGACAGTCTTGTTATAATTATTATTATTATTAATTATTATATATTATTATATGTGTTAGTTAAGTAGTAGTTATAGTTATTTAGTTAGTAGTAGTAGTAGTAGTAGTAGTAGTAGTAGTGTGAGGAATGCCTTGCGTTTTGTCTTGATATCGGAGGTCGTAAACCGTTTTAGACTAGAGTTAGGTAAGTTTATTCAGGTACAGGTACACATAAATACAGCTTCATATATTATCATACATTGCAGCATATGTGTAGATTACCTAGGATAATCCCAAAAAAGTCAAAGTGACTTATTTCAATTGGGGATTAATGTGGAGTAACGAGGATGAGGACCTTTTGTGGGGATAGTGAGAATTCACAATGTGAAGTATAGATATAGAGACTTGTTATAGAGTACATCATCAGTTGGAGAATTCAGATTAACCTAAGGGAGAATTTGATTAATCTCTCTCCCTCTCCTGCCATTTCTGTTGTAAAGGTCAGTATGACTGGGAACATTGTTTCCCTTCGGTACTTTTCGATCCTCTTAAAAA